GAAACGCATTCAGTCTAGCTCCACAAGGCCGTCTAGAAACAGCGAGAAGCCAGCCCCTGCTGTGTCAGCCCCGCCCCCTGGGTGCATGCTGGGGAGGTGTCACCCTTTGTGAGGAACGAAGAAATGGACCATGCCTTGGCGCTTGCCCCGGTCCCACCCCTTTCTGCCAGAGACCCTGAGATCTGTCCCACTCCTGCCCAGGCCCCCACAGGCACCCTTGACGCGAACGATGTAGAGCTGGCCATGCCCACCCAGTAGGCCACACCCATTTCATCCACACTCACCCAGTAGGCCGCACCCACCCTGGCCACACACCCCTGCCCCCCCCGAGGGCAACCACAATGCTGATGCGGCCCTCAATGAAATTGAGTTTGACATCCCTGATCTAGACACTGTTAATCCTGAGAACCATCTTTTGCTTACCTTAAAATGCAATCAATACTTTTCCTAACTTAAACCTGGTTCACAGTAACAAAAATATTAGACCTTCAGCCTCTGCAACATGTACCCTTGACTCTTCGCAAAAAAAATAAAGAGGCTTTGTTAATTATATGGAGAGAAAAAATATTTTAATTCTTCTGGTTTGAAACTGACCAAGTTTCAAATTCCTAGTTCTGTCCCCAAAAAGCAAATTATGGAAATCTATACAGTGTATGTTGTTTTTATTTTGTACAAAATAATTCTGTAAACACATTTACAATAATTTGTTGGCCAGAATAGACTAGAAGCATGAAAAACAATGACCTTATGACCTTTATTTACCCTGTAAGGCCATTGTTTTTCATTATACTGTATCATCAAGTATCTTATTTAGAACAGGGAGGTACAACTTGTCCTTTTACACACCCCCAGATGTTGTTATACTGCCTTAGTCATCATCCCTCACCATTAGCCATGCTGTCTAGGATTCATGGAAATTGAATTTAAGAGAAAGTCATCCCTGCCTTACAATCAGAGCAATGGAGGTTGCTGAGTTTAGAAAACAGGAATATTGTGGCTTTGTTTTCCGACAGCCTATGTTTATTCTAAATGTTTGCTGTTTTCTACCTCCCCAGTCTCTTCTCAGTCTCCTCTTATAAGCTCTATTGACTTAAAGCTTTGTTCTTTATCTCATTGTCTGCCACACCTTCCCTACCCGTAAGTCATCCTACCAATCCCAGATACCACTCCAAGATTTGACCTACTTTGTGAATAATTTCCTAGATTTCCTTGACGAGGAGGAAGAAGGTGCTGATAGTCCTGAACCTACTAACCCTTTTCCTGATGTCAAGAGCCCCAGTGTGTTGGATGCCCGTGTGTTCACTGGAATGAAGAGAAAAGATAGGCCCTTAGCCACAAAAGATTATGGGAATAATATGGACTATAATAGTTTTCATCAGAAGCAAAATAAGTTTAACGAAGAAGGAGACTTCACGAGGCAACCTGTCTCCGTAGGCCCAAGCAGTGAACCTAGCTTGAGTCCTCAGACTCCATCTAAGGGCTTCCAGGCTTATGAGAATGCAGCACCCTTTGGAGAACATGTCAACATCAACGGCCGATCTCTCAACTGGGCACAAGATGTGGAGAAGGAAAGGAAGGAAGTTGATCAGGGACTACTGCGGTCTTCAAAAAAAGGCAGCTCTTTCAGCCTCCAACCTCACCTTTCTGTGCCCTTCTTTGTTGGAAAGGCCAAGCAGCAGAGTCCTAAAGAAGAGAAACAATCCAAGAAAGAGACAAGCAAACCTCCAGAGAAAGTATACGTGACCAGGCTACAGCCCAATAAGAAGAAGGCCCCATCACAGAAGGATGTCTTCCCTGGAGTCTTCCTCTATCCTAGATCGCCAAGGAAGGTGCGATGGAACTCCAGGATCCCTCAGGGTCGCCCTGCTCCCTCCAACAAACTTCATTCTCCCTCTGCCCATAGAACATCTTTGCTTGTTGGTAATGCCACTAGGGAAGCAGATCTTTCTAAAAGGAAAGGGCTACGAGCCAGCCGGAAATGGGAACAATTTTATGGTAGGCAACCTTTTAAAGGCAGTATTAAGCGGCAGGTGCGTCCAAGTGCCTCAGTCTTGCCTGCAGAAGGGCTGTTCAGCAAAGAAAACTTTGAGGTCACCACTCCAGCAAGGACTATGTTAGATTTCAATTCTTCAGAGGTAGCGCTGTCTGAAGGGATGCAAGTGACATCTTTCCTCCAGATATCAGAAATGACAGAATCTCAGCAGAAGGGCTTGAAGGCCCAGGAGGAAGAAGTGGAAGAGGAAGTGTCTGATTATAGCTATGAAAATTCTGAGCTACAGCAGAGCTGGCTAGAGGACTCCATCAATTGGCAAAGGACGTTTAGTGTCAGCCCTGTTGACTTTGAATTGCTCCGCTCAGACTGGAATGATCTGAGGTGCAACGTTTCGGGAAACTTGCAGCTGAGTGAGAGCGAGGTGGTGGATGTGGTGGCTCAGTATATGGAGAAACTCAATGAGAAGAATGGCGGGTAAGAATGGAAGAGAATTGTGTGAAGGGAGGCATTATCACCAGAATAGATAAGGGTGGAATGAGGTTCCCCTTCACCCTTCCATTCAGCAATTAGGTGTACTACTCTAGGGGAAATTGTTACACTTGTGTGTTTGTAGGATGTGTGTGTTCTGCCCAGGATCTTGTCAGAATAAAGGAGATTAAAAAAATGCTAAATGAATGGATGTACAGCTGATACAGGATAGTTTCTTGGAGGAGAATATTTGATGTGGGCCAAGCTTCCCTATGACGGCTTTCTGTCCTTCCACCCCCAGCATCTACACTCTCTTGCGAATCATTAATGTTGAGAAGCGGCGAGACACGGCCCGAGGCAACCGCTATCTGGTGGAGTTAGAGCTGATGGAGAGGGGTCAGAGAACAGTCCGGCTCTCGGAATACATCTATGTCCTGCTCCACCAGGGCAAGTTAGAGGACAGCACTGAAGTCAACCCTGAAGGGCCTGCAACAGTAGCCACTGAATCTCAACCACCACCTAGTGCCTGGAGTCTTCTGTATGGAAAACCCATCCTCTGCCGACCTTTGCGGCTCAGCTGGAGGCATGATGTTATGGTACATTTTGTTGTCCCAGGTAGGTGATTCGCCCCCTGTACTCCAGGATTGAAAGGCTGCTTTTCCCAGGCATGATGTATGAGGCAGAGGGGAAAACAAAACCGGAGACCAACTGCAGTTGGGTTGGGGTTGAAAGAAGTTTGGAAAAGAAATTTCTCCTGGAATACACAAATATTCTTTTTTAATCCTCACTATTGTTCCCGTGGGACATTGCTGACATGAAATGAGAGAAATTATGGGAGGAAAGTCTGTCTATGCTCCATTTGGGAAGGAAATGAGAGAAGGGTAAGATCTGTTCCTCCCTAGCTAGTCTCTGTGCACCGTGAAAGGAGAGTAGCAATTAAGAATACTGTATCCCAGATCTTAAATTATGTGTTTTTGTTTGCATTGGTAAATGCCATATTCTATAATGAGACTACAGAAAGAGAAAAGATGCACTGATCAATAGGTGATCAGGCAATTATATTGGTGCTTAGCTATATTGTCATCTCTTCACCGTATAATTCTTTTGTTCTGCTATTAGAAGAATGTAATGCTCAAATACTGAATTTCTTTGGGCTAGAGACTTCTGAAGTCTTTTGAGGTCATGACTGAAACCTGTGCTGAGAATTGTCCATATGCCCTTGCTATTGTGAGCCCATAAGGATAATCGAAGCCTTTAATTCAGGGGTCTTCAAACGTGGCCCTTTTATGACTTGTGGACTTCAACTCCCAGAATTCCTCAGCCAGGCATGCTGGCTGAGAAATTCTGGGAGTTGAAGTCCACAAGTCATAAAAGGGCCACGTTTGAAGACCCCTGCTTTAATTAGTGGAATGTTTCCCTATAAACGCTCTATTGAGCTTTTGTGTTAAAATGTCCAAAATCCCTGTTCATATCTTGCAGTGAAGAACCAAGCACGCTGGATACAGCAGTTCATCTCAGATATGGCCAGCCTATTTCTGAACACCAAGGATGCCAACTTCAATATCATATTGGTGGATTTTGATAGTGATGACATGAATGTGGAGAAAGCACTTCAGGAGGCTCACCTGCCCAGGTAACCCAAGCAGTGATGAAAGCTCCAGAACCATTTCCTCTGATGGTTCTCCCTAAGTCCTCACAGCTAAATCTTAAAACTCCCAAATCTCTTTTAATGACTGCAAATGTTGCCCACTATTTTTCTGTGCAACATATGGTAGGTTCAGTTAACCACTAGGGAAATCTGCTCAATTTCCTCTCTAAACTTGCCACATTTTGTGCAAACAACCTGATTTCTTCACTGTGTAGAAGAGTGAGGCTTCAGATGCAAAGGATACCAGCACAAAAAAACCAGTGCTTGTGTATACAAAAAAGAAATGCCAACAACAGCATGGCTATACAGAGATCAAAGTTGTGTGTGTGTGTGTGTGTGTGTGTGTGTGTGTGGTGTCTCTAATGCCACCACTCTATTAAATCTGTTTGGATGAGTTCCAAGATTTATTAACCATTGTAAATATCAAGATAATAAATTAACATGCCTATAACCCTCCTAGGGCTGTAGGTTTTAATCAGTTTTATTGATAGGTTAAAGCTAAGCCGTGAACGTATGTACTAGGAAGTGAGCCTCATTGAAAAAAATAGATGCATGTGTCACCTCTTATTCATTCTTCAGCCAAAAGGACTCCCAAAGCAACTTCCATGGATCCTATTCATTGAAAAGGATAAATAATCAGTGTATCAATAAACAACCAGTCATAGTTATAGTGTGTCAGTGTATCAATAAATAACTAATACTTTGGCTAAGTATTTTTGATCTAATTATTCCAAAAGCCAATGGACAGATATAACTGAAGGAAACCAAACCACTTGAGAACCTAAAAGAGCTAGCAGATATAAGCAATGAAAGAAGAAGCAGCTTGAAGTTACTACTATATTTTATGGAGCCTGTCCCCAGGATTAACATAGAGTAAGGAAAGAAGAAGAGACAGCTATGACTGTGATTTTATAGCCTAGCTCAGTGGTGGCGAACCTATGGCACGGGTGCCAGAGCGGCACTCAGAGCCCTCTCTGTGGGCACATGCGCCGTCGCCCGAGTCCTAGGCCTTCAGATGGGTTTTATAAAACCTTTTCGCTTTAGGCCTCCACCGCTATGTGCAAAAAAAAAAAAGGTCCAATCAATCAGTCAATTTCAACTTCTCGCGGGAAAACAAAAGATCTCGCAAAGTTGGAATTAATTGATTGAACTTTTTAGTCCCACCCAGTCTGCCATTACCACCGCAGCCACGCCCACCCAATTGGCCACACCCACCCAATTGGCCATGCCCACCCGGCACCCGATGATGCATAAGTGAGTTTTGGGTTGCAGTTTGGGCACTCGGTCTCTAAAAGGTTTGCCATCACTGGCCTAGCTTGAGCATGCTCAAAAGTCCTAGCTGGCACAAAACAGTTAGCCACTCTCAAGTTTGATCTTCTAGGACTAGGCATATCCATTTGAGAGTATGACAACTTAAGGTCAATCACTTTTAGGGGCTTGAAAAACAAAGAAAAGAGCGGAGAAGTAGAGAGGGTGACATTGCCCATACTTCATCCTTGCCCGTTCTCTGCAGTGAGAAGCAGGAGGCTCCTTATCTTCCTATTGATGATTTAAACCAAAAGGTGAAAAAAGAGAGGGAGGAGGAAAGTAACAATAAACAGTTGTAATGAAAAGCCAGAAGAGCTGAGGGAGTGGTCCTGTGATTGACTTAAAACTTTGCAACAAGAGCCTGTGGATATAGGGCTGCATTGTTGAGAGTTTGGCAAAAATATTTTTTTAAGTTTGATGTTAAACTTCCAATTTGGGTGATACCGTCACATATTTTTCTGACTATACCAAGATTTGTGGTTATGGAGGCGCCATCTTATAAAGATCTGCTATATTTGAGTGGTAGTGGTGAATGGTGCCTCAAATCAATAGATGTTTTGAGACGGAAGT